CAAAAAGGTTTTTTTATATATGTAGAGAGAGAGGGAGTGAGAGAGGGAGAGAGAGAGAGAGAAAGTGAGAGAGAGAGAGAGGTCATGACGAAAGACAGTTAATGTTTTATCACCTGACACTGACAATTTATTTTTTTGTCCAAAAATTAATTATCTTTCCTTTTGGATTCCCTATAGGTTGGTGAAACGGAATGTCTCTGAAATGTTGTTATGGAACCTTTCCAAATAAACACACTATTTCGCGCTGACTGCGGCTTGACTTCCACGTCAGGTGTTTTTGTTTTACGCATGTCGTCCCAAACGTTAAGCATCCAATCAATTAACAAAAACCACACAACCACCATGGGACTAGCTTCAACAGTTGTTATGGATGCACTGCTGAGGTAATTGATGACGATGGCGAAGTGGCGCAGGTGGCCCAATGAGCTACATTGTATGGCGCCCCGACTCACGTCAGTAAGCTGTGCCAGTATTCGTTGGTCATTGGTTCCAATGCCTAGTACGCCCTGATTTTGATCCTTGGTTTGTCGGCAACATACCGTGTTCGTCGGTTTCACCAAATCAACAGGTTGATCTTTCCTTTTGAGAACGGGGCGGTCGGGTAGCCTAGTGGTTAAAGCGTTCGCTCGTCACGCCGAAGGCCCGGGTTCGATTCCCGACATGTGTACAATGTGTGAAGCCCATTTCTGGTGTTCCCCGCCGTGATATTGCTGGAATATTGCTAACAGTGGCGTTAAACCTCACTCACTTACTCCTTTCGAGAAACACCAAAAGTACCGTCCACTGCAAATTTAAAACACAACTCCCAACTGAAGTGATCATATTTATAGAAGACATGCATTTCATGTCATGTGTTTGTGACGGGTGCCACCGGTGGGGCAGGACAGGCTCAGCTTTTCGCGAACACCTGATGTCAACACTTTTTGAAAGTGATTCATAAACACGTCCTCAAAATATAGTCTGAATCGTACATGGGGGGCACAGGTGGCCCATTCGTCTTAGGCACCGCGATTCGCTGTTCAGAGTTGCGTTCGAATCCCGGTTCGCCTCGATTATGTTTCTAGGTTTGTCAGCACCATACCCGTGCTCGTAGGTTTCACCGAAGTGGTAAACGTCTGAGACCTGCATCACTTCGGGCTTTTCTTTCACATTAACTGACACGCCGTGATATAACTGGAATACTGTTAAAAGCGGCGTTAAACCCAACTCACTCACTCACTCACTGAATCGTACAATTGATTCTGCTTTTATCAGAGATTGCTTATGAAGATTGAAAAGGTTTGACGCTTTTATCTTAAGCTTTGTGAGTAACTGTGTCAATTTGTTTTGACATTTTATTTTATTTTATTTTATTTATTTTATATTTTATATTTATTCGAGGCAAAAGTAGAGATGATGTCTTAAGAACCCATTGTTAGATTTATCTTCTTTATAATCTTTGTTTTGGAGCATCCATGCTCGTTTAGGGGCTGTCGGGTAGCCTAGTGGTTAAAGCGTTCGCTCGTCACGCCGAAGACCCGGGTTCGCTTCCCGACATGGGTACAATATGTGAAGCCCATTTCTAGTGTCCCCCGCCGTGATGTTGCTGGAATATTGCTAAAGGCGGCGCAAAACCACACTCACTCACTCCATGCTCGTTTAATATTAATTGATTCTGTCCAAAAATGTGTCCACAGTGTATATTATCACATTAACAATTCAACCCAAGACGGACAAGTCAGGACTACAAACCACGTCAAGATATAAATACATTGTCCTATGTATCAACACCCACCTATTTTACGTTATGCACACCTTGTCCCACAGGCATTTTCCGTGTTGTTAATATTCAATATTCTTCTCAGATATTCAATATTTCCTTTATTGACTCAATATTCCTTTTTGTCAGCAGGTATCACTGTGTCTTATTCTCGATTGATGTGTGCAAAATGACCTTCCAATTCAATCTACTTCTCATCATGACCGGACCAAGAGGCAAACGCTTCTCTGATGTTACTGAAATACATGATTATGCCCCCACATAGATCTTTGACAGCATGTTCGGGTAGAGCCACGGGCGCAGTGACCGTCTTCAGAAGTATAAGGATCGAGGTAGTTATATAAAATTACTTGCAAAAGGATCCAGCGCCTTGGCAAGGCGACGAGAAGATATGACCAAAGATGTGGCTTAGTGGTGTAGGATTTGGGATGGCGGCGAAGATGAAAGAAGGGCTACAGATGGATTTTTCCTGTAAGCTGACTCCTATATGTAATTGCAATGTATTAACCTAGGTCAATACTTCATGGAAAAAGAAATAAAGCGACAAACCCCAAAATCATAAGAGCGAGTGTGTGAGCTTGGTTTTACGCCACTCTTAGCACTATTCTAGCAGGGGGACACCAGAAACGGGCTTCACACATTGTACCCATGTCGGGAATCGAACTCGGGTCTTCGGCGTGACGAGCGAACGCTTTAGCCACTAGGCTACCCGACCGCCCCCCAAATCATAAGAAATATCTGCTATACGTATTCTACTGTGGACGATTCCGATTATAACACAAGCATGTGTTTATGTTCGTTCGTTTGTTTGTTGTTTAACGCCGCTCACAGCAATATTACAGCTATATGACGGTGGTCTGTAAGTAATCGAGTCTGAACCAGACAATCCAGTGAGCATCGATCCACGCAATTGGTATATAATAACATGCTTCCACTTAGTCAGCGAGCCTGACCAGCCGATCCCGTTAGTCGCATGTAGTCAGCGAGCCTGACCAGCAGATCCCGTTAGTCGCATGTAGTCAGCGAGCCTGACCACCCAGTCCCGTTAGTCGCATGTAGTCAGCGAGCCTGGCCACCCGATTCAGTTAGTCGCATGTAGTCAGCGAGCCTGACCACCCAGTCCCGTTAGTCGCATGTAGTCAGCGAGCCTGACCACCAAAATCCCGTTAGTCGCATGTAGTCAGCGAGCCTGACCACCCAGTCCCGTTAGTCGCATGTAGTCAGCGAGCCTGACCACCCGATCCCGTTAGTCGCATGTAGTCAGCGAGCCTGACCACCCGATCCCGTTAGTCGCATGTAGTCAGCGAGCCTGACCCCCCCGATCCCGTTAGTCGCATGTAGTCAGCGAGCCTGACCACCCAGTCCCGTTAGTCGCATGTAGTCAGCGAGCCTGACCACCCGATCCCGTTAGTCGCATGTAGTCAGCGAGCCTGACCACCCTGTCCCGTTAGTCGCATGTAGTCAGCGAGCCTGACCACCCGGTCCCTTTAGTCGCATGTGTTTATCGTTCAGTCGGAACAGTAAAATGGAATCTGCTTCCAGTGAACATTATGGATTATTATGATTATGGAAATGATTTTTGTAGCTTTTATTTATTATGAATCACTATCAAATAGTGATGATACTAGTTGTTCGCGAAAAGGTGAAGTGTACAGCACTGGCTTGGAAATGACGTTCATTCCAGAGTTATCTTTTTTATTGAACTGTAAAAACAAATTACCAGAAGGGACGTATGACTTCATAGCCCATGATGAAACAATGTGTTCTGTTCAAATAATTTTTTATGTATAATAAAAGCTAGTTATAAGGGGAGACTTTAAGGTTCTCGAGGTGGAGTAGCCTTGTGTTTAAATCAGACCCAGGTTCGATTCCCCATTATGTGAAGCCTAGGTTTCATGTCCCTCGCCGTGATATAGCTGGAATATTGCTAAAAACACCGTAAACCATACTCATTCACCTAATGTTCTTCTGACAATTAATGAAAAATATTTTCAACCCTGCCTGGAATTATTTTCGGGGCATGAAACTGTCGGTTCTTAAATGATGTTAGGTAATCCCCCAATTCATTATACCATCATTCTTCGTTGGCATTCGTGGTTACAATTGGTTCCCCGAGACACGTGCTTGTCGTAAGAGGAGCATAATGGATCGGATGATCAGGTTCGGTGTCTTAGTGGATTGCGCGTCATCATGACGTTGTGGATCGTTGCTTATAAGAGTGAGTGAGTGAGTTGGGTTTAACGCCGCTATTAACAATATTCCAGTTATATCGCGGCGTGTCAGCCTAATATGGGAGTAAAGCCCGAAGTGATGCAGGTCTCAGACGTTTACCACTTCAGTGAAACCCACAAGCACGGGTATGGTGCTGACAAACCTAGAAAGATAATCGGGGCGAACTGGGATTCGAACCCACAATCATAGGTTTCAGGCGTGTCCAAGGGACGCAACTCTGCACAGCGAATCGCGGCGCCTAAGACGACTGGGCCACCCATGCCCCGTTGCTTATAAGAACAATGACTGGTTTGTCTTTTCCACATTCGTATATTTACAGACCGCCGCCATATAACTGCAATAATGCTGAGTGCGACAACACTCTGACAAACCCTATGGACAATTTCATACTCCCGGGGGGCACGGGCGGCCCAGTCGTCTAAGGCGCCTCGATTCGCTGTGCAGAGTTGCGTCCCTTGGGCACACCAGAAACTTATGATTGTGGGTTCGAATCCCGGTTCGCTATGATTATGTTTCTAGGTTTGTCAGCACCATACCCGTGCTCGTCGGTTTCACCGAAATGGTAAACGTCTGAGACCTGCATCACTTCGGGCTTTCCTTCCACATTAAGCTGACACGCCGTGATATAACTGGAATAGCGGCGTTAAACCCAACTCACTCAATCACTCTCTGCTTTCGGCGCCAAAGACGTTCAATGTATGTATACATGCGTGCTTGCAGGTTCGAAAATGATCATTGTGACGGGGGTAAAAAAAAAAAAATAAATAAAATAAAAAAAAAATAAAAAATTGTGACGGGGGTCTAAATATCTAAATATTGTTTACCTCAACCACATACTGGTCTGTCGGGGTTCGTGCCACAGACTCCGACACCAAGTGTTACAACGGCCATGACACAGATGTCATCCAGCCGTTGTACAATAAGTGATAGTGGTATTGATCCAAGCTTCCCACCCCATATTTTCTATACAGATATAATTACTTGTCACGCTTACAGTGATATAGAACCCCGACAAACAGGATATTCATCTACGCAGTAATGGACATTCTCACCTTCATACACTATCGCCTTACCCGCCCACTGTCAGGTGGGGAAGTGTTCATTTCACATACCCTGGCTGTGTACCCTGGACGCAGATAAGGTATGTTGTGGTTTTCTGATGTAAATTTCCCATGCTAAAGATTAAGGAACACGTAGTTATAATTTATAATGTATTGTTTACTTCACTACAAAAAAATCTTATCTTCGTATCGTCGCAATCAAATACAAAAAACTACGTTTATAACGAACTGACGGATATAACGTACTTATTTTTTTGTCCCGGCCATTTGCTGTATTTTTGCTGTATATATGCTTATAACGAACTACGGTTATAACGAACTAACATTAGTGATCCCTTTGAATTCGTTTTAACCGTAGTTTACTGTACAGTGATACCAGGTTCTTTTAATCATGAAACACCACCTTCTGGACTTAATACTCAGTACTGGAGCTTGTACTTATCCAGTGTTTGTTTGTTGTTTAACGCCGCACTCAGCAATATTCCAGCTATATGACGGCTGTAAATAATGGAGACAATCCAGACAATCCAGTGATTGACATGGGCATCGATCCACGCAATTTGGATACGATAACATGTGTCAACCAAGTCAGCGAGCTTGGCCACCCGATCCCGTTAGTCGCCTTTACGACACGCATGTACGGCAAGCATGGGTTGCTGAAGACCTATTCTAAGCCAGATCTTCACGGTTCTGCCACATCCTTGTCCATGAGATTCACCATACTGTGTCGTTATGTATTGTTCACGTTGTACAAAGTACTGTTCAAAGCGGCGTCAAACCCCAAGTCATTCTCCTATTCACTCTGTAACACTCACACACAAACAATTTAGTTGGTTGGTTTGTTGTTTAACGCCGCACTCGGCAATATTCCATCTATATGACAGCAATGTAATTAATCGAGTCTGGACCAGACAATCCAGTGATTGATATCATGAGCATTGATCCACGCAATTGGGATCGATGACATGCATGAACCAAGTCAGCGAGCCTGACCACCCGATCCCGTTAGTCGCCTTTTACGACAAGCATAGTCGCCTTTTACGGCAAGTATTGGTTGCTGAAGAGCTATTCTACCCCGGAATCTTCACGGGTCCAAACAATTTAGTATCGATGTGTATCACTCAAGGTGACTGGGAAGACACTGCCCTACATGTTTGTGGGTCTAGATCTCTTGGCGGTCTGAAAGATGGACGCGGGACTACAGGCAGGTGTCTCCTATGACTAGCGTGGGTTGCTGAAGACTAATTCTAACCCGGATTTTCATGGGTCCTGATCGAACAAGGCTGTGCTAGGTCATGCTTTAATGAGAGGCTTTGAACTTTTTTCTTGCTTCAATTGAATGGAACGCTTACATGTTTACATAGTGCTATTACTTTGTAAACATAACTCGTTAAACCGAAAACTTGTTAATCCGGAACCCTAGCGTCCGGATTAACGGGGTTTCACTGTTTAAGAATCCAGAGTGTCTACTAAATAGTCTGATGGTCTCTTGTTATCAGCAAGGGCGGTGAAAGCGTTCGCTCATCATGCCGAAGACCCGGGTTCAATTCCGGGTACAATGTGTGAAGCCCATTTCTGGTTATATTGCTGGAATATTGCTAAAAACGATGTAAAAACATACTCACTCACGCACTCGCATAATTGGCATTAAAAGTATATATATGAGGCATGAAGTGCTTGCATACAGGAAAGCATTAACAATGAAAACAAACCAACACAACAAATAATCAGTGCATATGCAATACACACTGCGAACAGTCATATGACCACAAAGAGATATGTGAACCCCCAAGATCCCATGCTTTCTCTAAAGGGTGGGTACAACATCACTGTTTGTGTGTCATTCTGACCCGGCGGCCATAACTCTCGCTTCCACGCAAACACTACCGAAGACTTGATAATTGACAGGCCCCCTGTAATACATATATTTGTGTGTCTTTGTCCTGACGGACCGCCTCCGTGGTCTAGTGGATAGAGCATCTGCCCGGAGAGCGGAAGCCGGTTAAGGGTTCGACCCCCAGCCGCGTCGTTCTCGGCATTAGGAGCATAAAACAAGGACTGGTCGACTCTGAACCTGTACACTGTGTCTGAGTGGGATATCCATGTTAAACTGCAGCATGGTATCTCAGTAGTCAGTAGTCCGAACTAGAACAAGCAGTATTATCAAAATACGTTAAAAGATTATACTTGTTGTCACCCTGCCTTACGGCATTAAGGCATTAAGGGGCTAAAACAAGGGCTGTTCCGCTCGGTGTCAGTATACTGTGTCTCATTGGGGTATTGATCTTAAACCTCGGCATGGCATCTCAGTGGGCTAGCACTATAAATCGGCATCAGTCCGGACTAGTACAAGCAGCCACACACACACGCACACACGGCTATGCATGTCGCTACAAAAGTGCAATAATCTTGAACGCGACGTTAAACCCAATTTCACCTCACCTCTATTAGTCCCAGATGTCCCTAGAAGAGATGATGTCCTTCTCATCAAAATCGGCATTAGTGCGGACTACCACACACACACACACACACACACACACACACACACACACACACACACACACACACACACACACACACACACACACACACACTGTAATGGTTTGGTTCAATCCAATTAAATGTGTACTTTCTTATGCACGGTAGTTTATTTCATGTTTTCCAGCCTGTCAGTTGCTTAATCTGCTACAATGACGAACACTGAATAATGTGTTGCAACTATCTGTTTTGAGAGATATTGGATTTTACATGTAATTTCCTGAACATTCTTTCTGCACAGTGCGTTTTCAGAACAGTAATTTAAATGCGTAACGCTATATTTAACATATTAAGGAAGTTGTGAAACAAGAGTATCGTTGCTTCTCTTATCCTAGTGGAATAGTCAGGTTTTTGCACTTGAAAAGGATAGTTTGAAAAAAGAAATTATAAATCAAAATGAAAATGATCAGGTGCAATCAATATGTTTTGCTTTTTCAAAGGATTAAATTTCAACTCTGTTTTTATTTGAAACTGTTGAATTATATAAATTGTTCCCAAATAACGCCTTGCCAAAATCACGTGGGTTACGTTGAGAAAACTTTTTTTAAACTATGGATCCATTCTCTTCAACCCGGATGGAACAAACTATTTTTTACCATTTGATTCTGTGTTTCAAAGCTTGTCTTAACGTTTTCAAACTTTTGAACTGCTCATTTAACGATTTTAACGATAAGCCAGTCCTCGTCTTCCAACCTTCACATATTGACATGTGGCTTGTTATAAACTCAGTAAACGTGTGGTGTGTGTGGGTGAACTATACCATGTGCGATGGTAATATCATCAAGTGAGCAACCATTTGATATTGGGGGTGGTTGGTGGTCGGGACTGGGGTAGGGTGGGCGTAATTTGAGATCACCCTCTTTTATGTTTAGGAGTTCAATTATTATTTTTTTCAACATAAACAATACACCAATAAAACAATTAAACATAATTAAAAAATATAACGAATTGAATTTTATAGACACTTGATCCGAACATGTTATATTTTAATTAAATAAAAGCGACAAAACCTTTTCCATATTCATCTGCCAAAATCATCTGTCTTTGGGGTCTTTTTGTTGTAACGTCCTGTTTCTAGGTGTAGTTGTAGATTCCCGTACCGTACTTTAGTCTAGTTCCGTCTCCTGTTTCTGACAACATTTGTGTGAACAATCAATACGTACCATCCTTTCTGAAGTGCACGGCTTGTCGGTGTTAATGCACACCATTTACCCCACCAACATTGAGCATTTTCTGAAGCCTTTCTCCTGTTAGGTCAATTAAAACAAATTGTATTAACATACCAAAAAATGGAGATAAATATATATCGTTAACATTAACCTCCTCATTTAGATTGTCAATCTCATTAACCAGGTCGTTTATATAAAAGGAGAACAAAGTTGGAGGCGTGATACAACCTTGCCTCACCCCGGTATTAAAATAGGACGTATACTGGAAACAGCCCCTGTTTCAAATACATGTCTGAATTTAAAAAAATAAAAACAACAATCCGATATATGTTTTTGCTTTTTCTACTATGATGCATTTCAAATGAAATTAATCTCCTCATTTTAACAATGATCCAATAAAAATGTTTCCCTCTTTTAACTTTTGAGTTATTTGAGATATTATTGGCATGTTGTTCTAATACATTCTATGACACTGAAGAATGTTTGATTTTGATTGGTCAAAATAACATTAAAATAAGGTATAAAATACTATAATAAAATACCTCAAAATTAACAATTTGAAGCCTTTTTTCACTAAATCTGGCGTGTAAATATATCGATCGATCGATTGCCTACGTTCTGAACATTGTGGTCGCTCATCGGTACACTGCACAGCCACTTGGTCACAGCTGTTATCAAACACATAAGCTCATGATACTGCTTCAGGGCTGATAACATACATTATCAACTCCTAAAACATTTACCAGAATCATGTTTAGAAACCCTACTGTTAATATTTGATGATATTTGGACATCCGGTAAATTTCCTTCTTCATGGCGTGATGCCATTGTTGTTCCCATACCGAAACCAGGACGGGATCATACGGATCCATCAAATTATAGACCAATTTCATTGACTAGTTGCGTTAGCAAAACCATGGAACGCATGGTCAATAATAGATTAACATGGTACTTGGAATCTAATAATTTAATCACAAATATTTGATGTGGATTCCGTAATAGTACCATTGACCATTTGGTTAGATTGGAGTCATTCGTTAAGAACGCCATTGTTAACAATCAGCATGCAGTGTCTATCTTTTTCGATCTGGAAAAAGCATATGACGCTACATGGAAGCACGGTATTTTAAAATATTTAAATGACTTTGGATTCCGAGGTCGTTTGTCTCCGAGTCAGTTTATATCCAAGTTTTTAACGGACAGACAATTTCAGGTCCGTTCTACCCTGTCTGATCATTATAATCCAGATCAGGGAGTCCCACAAGGCAGTATCATATCTGCCACATTGTTTAGTATTAAGATTAACAGTTAATCAAAAGTTTTAAATGATTCTATTGATGGTTCGCTTTTTGTGGATGATTTTAATATTTCCTGTCGTGGCCAAAACATGAAAACAATTGAAAGGCAACTACAGCTATGTTTAAATAAAATTCATAAATGGTCATTAGAAAATGGCTTTAAATTCTCCAAATCTAAAACAAACTGTTTTCATTTTTCAGAAAATACAAACCTCACCCAGACCCGGAATTAATTTTAAATGACACACCTATTAAATTTGTAGGTATAATTTTCGATCATCATTTGACCTTTTTACCCAACATAAAGTACTTAAAGAATAAATGTCTGAAGGCTATGGACCTATTGAAAGTTGTTTCAAACTCAAAGTGGGGAGGGGATCAGAAAACCCTCCTCCTACTATACAGAGCACTTATCCGTTATAAACTTGATTACGGCTCCATCATTTATGGTGGGGCTTGTAATAGTAATCTAAAATTATTAGATACTATACAAGGACTGAGGCTGTGCCTTGGCGCCTTTAGAACCTCGCCTATTGATAGTTTGTATGTAGAAGCTGATTAGACGTCCCTTAAACACCGCCGCATTAAATTATCTTTTCAGTATATCTCTAAATTACGTTCTAATAACGCGAATCCAGCGTATGACTGTGTTTTTAATTCCCTTTATGGAAATCTCTACAATAACAAATCATCTGTTCTCCCTCCACTTGGAATAAGGCTACGTTCTGATATTTCTGCTGCTAAAATAAATCTTGATACTATAGCCCCCACTCAGCTTTTGTCTTCTCCACCATGGCAGTTAGTGAAGCCAGAGGTGGATCTAACATTAACTAAACTTAAGAATCTAAAACCAATCAATTTATTTATCAACAGGAATATATTCAACTTCGAAACAAAAATGATACTTACAAATCTATATTAACAGATGGATCCAAGGATGGTGACGCAGGTGCTAGCGCCACCATCATTGGATCCAGGACTATATCATCTAGAATACCTGATAACTGTTCCATTTTTACAGCCGAATCAAAAGCCATATTCGTAGCAATAGAATACATCAGTAAGTCATCCAAAACATAAACAATTTATTATATTACTCTCTTTCCTGTCGTCAGGCAATGACAAATCAATCTACCAAACATCCATTTTTAATCGAAATTCTTGAATTATGTATTGAACTTGCTACTGGTCAATACGACATCTTTTTCTGTTGGTTACCTTGCCATGTTGGAATTACTGGGAACACAATGGCTGCTGCTGCTGCTAAAGCAGCACTTAACAAATCTGTGACACCACTTCTTATTCCATACAGGGATTGTAAGCCAGTGATAAGATCATATATCCGAGATCTGATGCAGAAGAAGTGGGACACCCAAGTAGGTGTTAATAACTTACATGAAATTAAACCTAATATAGGTTACACCTACTTGGGTTGTCAGTCCAGATTTGAAGAGGTCATAATACGACGATGTCGTATTGGCCATAGCAGGTATACACTTGAATATTTATTAAAAGGTGAGGATCCTCCATTTTGTATCCCTTGTGGTGAGAGAATCACAGTCAAGCATGTCCTGCTTGACTGTATTGATTGTGCCATCACAAGGGATAACTATTTCAAATCATCTCTTAAGGATCTTTTTAATAGTAATAGTCGTCATTTAATTATTATCTTTTTAAAAGAAATTGAACTTATTAATAAATGTTGATGTACATAGTTGTTTCTTCAATTGGTAGTGCCTAAATGTGAACTGATATTGTTTTTGGCTGTGCCCTTGACGGGGGTTAAAGTTCTGTAAAATTATTGTCCCCCCTGATAGGGTATCGTAAGTCCAGATCATTCAAAGTATACTGAACAACACAAGTTTCTGTGACATTGAATAAGATTTAATGCAAAGTTATGTTTTTACCAAATCTGAAACAATTTCGGTTTGCAACAGATAAAACACTCCTGTAAGTGTTCAAATGGTTTAATTTGCCATACTGACTTCAGAAAATGCAAGATTTCATTAAAAAAAAATGAACATGCCAAAATGTCAATTTACAAATCAATAGCGTGTGTGTCCACCTCTGGTTGCGATGCAGGCAACACATCTTCGTCTCATGGAATGGACATGGCGTCGCACAAAGTCCTGTGGGATATCTGTCCATATCTGCTGGAGCATGTTTCGAAGTTCCTGGAGTGTCTGTGGAACACTTGGTTGACGTCGAAGGCGCCAATCCTTCTCATCCCACATGTGCTCGATTGGTGAGAGATCAGGGGAGCGAGCCGGCCAGGGGATGACATTCACGTTGTTTTGTTGAAGAGAATCCTGAACAAGTCGAGCAATATTAGGCCGGGCGTTGTCAAGTTGAAAGGTAATGCCTGGGCCATGACGGGGCAAAAACGGTAGAACAACAGGGCCGATGAACTCGTCGCGGTAGCGCTGTCCATTGAGATTTCCCTCTACCACTATCAAACGGGTCCTCTGTCTTGCTGTAATCCCACCCCATACCATAACGCTGCCGCCCCCAAACCGATCTTCTTCCATGACACAATGATTGACGTAACGTTCACCTCGACGTCGGTACACTCGAATCCGTCCATCGCTGTGGCTGAGGTGAAAACGAAACTCGTCAGTGAATAGAACTTCCCCACTGCATGGCCGTCCATCGTAGACGCTGTCTGCACCACTGTAGACGTGCTTGACAGTGGTTTCCTGTCAAAATGGGACGTCTGGCGGGTCTTCTGGCGACAATCCCTGCACATCTGAGGCGACGACGTACGGTTTGTGAAGATATTTGTCGAAGGCCAGGGATGCTTCTTGCAGTCACTGTTGCTGGCTGGAATCGATTTCGTAGGTGTGTTGTTCGAATCCAGTTGTCTTGTCGATTATTGGTTACGCGTGGCCTGCCACTCCGAGGATGATCTCTGACTGCATTCGTCTGATGCCAACGTTGCCATAAACACCAAATGGTGTTTCTGTGGGCGTTAAATTGTCTTGCAACATCACGTTGACTCGATCCTGCTTCAAGCATACCAATGGCTCGCAGACGCTCATTTTCGGACAGGCGTGGCATTTCGTAATGTTGAATAATTGCGTAATTTTGTTGTTTTTCTGAGTGGTTGTTGTCAGCACGATGCTAAGCAATGCATATGGAATCCCGTTAACGCACATGTTTTTATACCCATTCTTGGGTATTGAAATGCATGGGGCTTGCATAAAAGTCAACTTTTGCATGGAATGCATGCCTTTCTGTAGCAGTTGCGTTTTTGTGACTTGATTCCATACATGTACTTTTGTTGTTGAGTATATGTTATTCCTACTTCAGTTTTAATCGTAGAATAGGTGTTCTTTTAATTTGGCTAAATTTGTCAATAATCGCCAACACCTGAAGGGAAGATGTAAATCCGACTGGGGTCCATGCAGGTACTGTAAAGTACTGTAAGTCCCCAAGGTCCCAAGTATGGTAATCTACCTTCATTTGCTGGCGATCTATAGCCCGTTTTTTTATAATGTAAAGTTATGCATAGTGCTATTGATTTTATGATTACAGTTTTAAATATTACATTAGTTAACACATGGTTCTGTATGTGTTTGACAGATGAAGGTTGTGTGTCTACTTCTCGTTGTCGGTCTTGTATTGGGTCTAACAGACCGCTCAAGTTCTTTCCTTTGGCGAAAACGTAGGGGGTTCAACCCCTGTCGTGTCATTGCCTGTGACTATCACAAGACAAGGGAGATAACTCGTGACGACAATGCAGTCATCGACGTGAACAACGTTAAAGATGGTGTTTCCCGAGACGTACAGGAATTGCCTGAAGCAGGTTAGTAAACTTACTTTGAATTTGATGATCTTAAAGGAGGTCGAGCTCTTCTCTACGAACGCTCGATAGTTGTTGTTATAGTCAGCCAGGAGTAGATAGTAAGGCAAGCGTGGATACAGATTTCCAGAAAGGATGGTTGCAGTCGACGGGTGAGTGAGTGGGTTTTCGATGGGTGGGCAAACAAAAGTGTCAGGTCTTATATAAACTTATTTCATGCCATCTAATAGTTAATACTAATTCTACTTTTAACTGTGTGAATATTTGTTATGTTTCAGATCAGTCTGTATAGTCGATGGAATCTCAGGATGACATTAAGGCTGAATCTAAAGGATGATTTTAAGGCCATATGCGTAATGACAATTGTTCAAAATCTTTATCATAATATATCGCATCTCCTGATCATAAATTGTTTTTTTTATTTTTCAAACTATTATTCAAATATGCAAAGGCTTATAGCGTGGCGGAAATATACATGGTGTCAGGATCGGTTGGTCGTGGGGTGCGAATCCCAGAGGCGCCCTGAGTGTTATCCTTGGTTTGTTCGCACCACATCAATGATTATGATTCTGCCAGTTTAAAAACGGCTCTGACCAGCCTCGCTTTGGGATGTCCTCCTCTATTAGCCTGACACGTCGTGATATAACTGATTTTTGATCAAAGCGGCTTAAACCCAACTCACTCACACACTCACTCACACAACCCAACTCACTCACTCTCTCACCCACCCACTCACTCACTCACTCACTCACTCACTCACTCACTCACTCACTCACTCACTCACTCACTCACTCACCCACCCACCCACCCACCACCCACTCACTCACTCACTCACTCTCACTCACTCACTCACTCATTCACCCACTCACTCACTCAACGACCCACCCACTCACTCACTCACTCACTCACTCACTCACTCATTCACTCACTCACTCACTCACTCACTCACTCACTCACGGCTCTGTGTGAACATTTTCCGATAAGTCGCCGTAAGAGATCTGTACGCAGAAAAGCTTATTTGTTTTTATCATTAAAGAAATAAACATTGCCTAACTGCTTTTTAACATCCCTTCGGCAAGACAAATGGAAGCCTTCTTCGTCAGACAAAAAGATGAAAGATGTTTTTCTAACCTTCCCTTTTTCATCGCTGTCCAGAATAATGATAAAGTGACTATTTTCTTGCCACGCCATTGCATAAACACCCAATTACGTTATACACACATCCTCCGTCAAGTTCAAAGCAAAAATAAACAACATGAGTTCAAAAGGTGTTTTTTTCACTTTTGAGACCAAATGAATTGTAACATTTGTCTGAAAACATACCGATGTTACGTTTCCTGTCAGTTTTCGTCGACCTTTTACTGTAGATATGTGAAGTGTTTTGTGAAGTTTGAAAGTGAAAATGGACTAAAAGATTATGCACAGGACGTGGAATGTTCATTTATTCACTGATGTTTTTCTTTGTCTTTTTATGTGATGAAAGACGTTTTAATGAGCACCATGCATGGTTACGTGTAGGCGGAAGATCAAAGTTATATATTGACGACATATGTAAACAGTGACATAAAAGATAACTTGGCGGCAAAATTATGTAAATAGTAATAAAAAAGTTATAAACTGACGGTCAAAGAAACTTTACCATAGTTTTAAATCACTCTACAAAACCACAAAAAAAACGCATTTAGTAATAGTCCAGCAATATAACGGCGGGGGACACCAGAAATTGGCTTCTCACATTGTACCCATGTCTGGGATCGAACCCGGGTCTTCGGCGTGACGAGCGGACGCTTTTACCACTAAGCTACCCGACCGCCCTACAAATTCATGAGTGAGTGAGTGAGTATGGTTTTACGCCGCTTTTAGCAATATTCCAGCAATATCACGGCGGGGGACACCAGAAATGGGCTTCACACATTGTACCCATGTCGGGAATCGAACCCGGGTCTTCGGCGTGACGAGCGAACGCTTTAACCACTAGGCTACCCGACCGCCCCACAGATTCATGAAGTGAAATGTATTGAAAAGATCAAAATCTCAACATCAATATTTAAGATACAGCAACATACAGCATCCGATATTGGCATGACAGTTGACGAATTGAGGTGAGGTAGCAAGAACAGGCTTACAGAGAAATGGACAAAGGTCACACACTTCTAAAAATCGCTCAAGTTCAATGACACGTCACATTAATAGCGTGTATGAACATCCCCTATTACAAGACACGCAAAAATTCAGTCATCTGTTGACGTCAAGGGATATACGTCGCCATTCTTCTTGGAGGCCTGGATCAGCTCTTGTTGGTTGGTTGGAGGATATGGTCGCTGTTGTACATGACCATCCATAACATCCATGTGGAGTTCTATGAGAGACGTGATTGGGGAGTGGCAACGGCAACACGTTGACGTTGTTGGCTGCAAGGAAGTATATTACGATTCGGGCTGTATGGGGTATGTTGACAAAGGACACCACGTGGAACGGGTCGGACAATCGGAGCTGTCAAATTTCCGTTAACGATGACCAGTGGTGTTCTCTCTCCTGGCCACACATACCCCCTCCCCCACCCGCCCTTACCGACGCACTCCGCAAAGTTCCAGCTTATATGACGGCGGCCTTTAAATAATCGAATCTGGACCAGACAATCCAGTGATTGATATTTTGACCAACACTCCACGCCGTCGGGGTACGATGACACGCCATCGACCAAGTCACCAGGTCTGACCTAAGGAGGAAGGCACCTAAGACCACTGGACCTCCTGTGCACCCAACATCATTGAGTCTTGTTGCGATCCGCATCGTACCGTACATTCAAACGGTTACGCCAACACCGTACGTCCTCATCGTACGCACACACCGTACGTCCTAAGCGTACGCCCACTTCGTACGTTCAGATCCTACATCTTCATTGCACGCTCTCACCGTACGCCGACATCGCACGTCCACACCGTACACCCACACTGTACGTCCTCAATGCATCCCACATCGTATGCTCACACCGTACATTCTCAATGTACGCTTACACCGTACGTCCTCATCGTACGCCCACACCGTACGTTCACACTGTACGTCCTTACCGCATCTCCAACATCGTACGTTCACACTGTACGTCCTTACCGCATCCCCAACATCGTACGCTCACACTGTTCGTCCTCACCGCATCCCTAACATCGTACGCTCACACTGTTTGTCCTCACCGCATCCCCAACATCGTACGCTCACACTGTACGTCCTCACCGCATCCCCAACATCGTACGCTCACACTGTTCGTCCTCACCGCATCCCCAACATCGTACGCTCACACTGTTCGTCCTCACCGCATCCCCAACATCGTACGCTCACACTGTTTGTCCTCACCGCATCCCCAACATCGTACGCTCACACCGCACATCCTCACTGTACGCAGACGCCGTACGCCCACATTGCACGTCCACACCGTTCAGCTACACACACAAAGGTACTGCTTCAAAGAATAAACACTTCAGCATGTGTGTTCAGACAACGGTCCAAGCCACTGACTGTCTGCTCATCGATATTTGCCCCAAAGGTCAGGCCGGCCTTAGTTTTCATTATTGAATTATTATCATTATTGAATACACATTCAACAGGTTTTAATTATATTATTTTAAATAATGTATTTGTTTTGGTAGCTTCAAGGATTAAACACAAAGAAACGACATTCATTGTAATGCAATATGTCATGCGGTTCTTTTTTTAGTATATATATATATATTTAGAGAGGTAATATAAGAAAAAGTTTTGTTTCTCATCATCTGCCTACTCTTAAGGTTTTCGGTTGAACATCCGCATGATAAATTTCGTTCTTGTTACGTATTTTAAAACATTGCACATTTTTATGTAACCCGTTATGAAGTCCAGAAATGCCATTCGAGAGGCAGCAGCTCAGGAGCCTTTTTGTAATCGGTTAGATGTCAATTAAAATAATAATGAATTTAGGTCAGAAAGAAATTAAAATACGACCTAAGTACCCGTTTTCCCTTTAAAATGTCTTGAGAATCAGTAATTTATTTATGTGGCCATTCGTTGAACAAATGTATGTGAATGAAAGCGTCGCTGACGCAGCAATAGCCCAATAATATTACGACGGGTGAGTGAGTGAGTATAGTTTTACGCCGCTTTTAGCAATATTCCAGCAATATCACGGCGGGGGACACCAGAAATTGGCTTCACCCATTGTACCCAATGGCATGTTGGGAATCGAACCCAGTTCTTCGGCGTGACGAGCGAACGCTTTAACCACTAGGCTACCCGACCGCACCTATCACGAAAGGGAACACCAGAAATGGGCTAAGGCATTGTACACACGTGCGGAATCGAACCCGTACCGTAGGTACTTCAGCTGCAAAATCGTTCATTGATATGAAAAAAAACCCATAAATACTGTTTTGTCTATGTACGTTTTAGGGGCGGTAGGGTAGCCTAGTGGTTAAAGCGTTCGCTCGTCACGCCGAAGATCCAGGTTCGATTCCCGGCATGGGTACAATGTGTGAAGCTCATTTCTGGTGTCCCCCGCCGTGATATTGCTGGAATATTGCTAAAAGCGGCGTAAAACCATACTCACTCACTCACTATATACGTTTTACCATCATACCAATAACATTGTTTGTAAAATGTTTTCCCTCGTTGGGTGACATTAAAAACCTGAGCACATTTCAAAATGTTATGACGTAATTGAGAGCCAAAAGTGGACTAAGAGTTCTGCTGGACGAAATTGACAACGTCTGGGTGAGATAATGTAATAAGAAAAAAAATTACAATCAAATTCCTCAACCCAATGTGGCTTTTGCGTGTCTGTTTTGCGTTTACACAATTTCATACATGGCTTTCGTCAAACATGAATATTCCTCTTATCAAAACGGACATTGATGTTGTGTATATTTCCAATTACTGGTTTCGTACAGGAATCGCTTGAATCGCGGAAATTCCCATAAAATACAAGGCAGTTATCTGACATTATAAACTTTATATCGACCATCTATCATTTCATCTCCAAGCTGGCTTAAGATGCAGGACTTTCAATGACATGTTTGACTCACAGATGCCAACAGCTTCTCAGGGCAACATTTAGCTGCCAGTTATCACATAGGTAGTTCTTTGTTTTAAACAAGTGATCAAAATAAGTAACAGTGGCGAATCGTTGCTTTGGAATATTAAAATGTTGAAATTCAAACTTTAAAATTGCCTTTATTTATTACTGCATTATTATAGCAATATGACTGTTACATGACGGCGAGTAATACGAAGGATAGTCATGCCCATATCTCTCTCTCTCTCTCTTTCTCTCTCTCTCTCTCCTCTTTTCTTTCTCTCGTTCTTTATATTTCTCTCTCTTTCTCTCTCCCTCTCTCTATCTTCTCTCTCTCTCTCCATCTTTCTTTCTCGTTCTCTACATTT